GCGACAGCAAGGCGGACAGTGTTGATGATCATAATGACCAGGGCGATTCTTCCCACATGTTGTTCATGACATGTGATCATGATCAAATTTGTCATTGGTTTCCGAATGTCGCCATCTTTAGAGCTTCTGTTTCTGTAGCTTAGGTATAAGTCTCCATTGTTTGTGCAACTACGAGTCCCGTTGTGTTGTGATTTCTCTAAATCAGTTGTTACTAGTTTGGCCTTATTATTGCGCTTGTCGTTAACAATCTCGATCCCGTTTTCAACAACATTGTTGCACTCAGTTTCATCTACTCTCCTTATCAAGAGCTTCTGTCTTTCCCGCAGGTAATTCTGTTGACATCAGTGTCATTGTGTTTGTGTTGTCACGGCGGATGTCCACATTTGTTCTTTATCACATTCTGGCCTACAGCCATGTGATAGCAATACGTAGTTGGAATGACTTGGAATGCCATTCTGCCTTGGTGTCCGAATTGATGTCCCTCTTCGCCTGTTGGTTTCCCATGCGCTGTGTGTTTTCGTGCCTGCTTTGTTGTTGCCGTTGTTGCTGTGGCTTCTTGCGTTTCCGCACTTGTTGTCGTAGTTGCCGTTGTTGGAAATGCTAGGTCATGCTGTAGCTTCCATGTTTCTGCTCTTGCACTGTGACTTGCATCGGCGTCTAGAAGCCATACCAAAGGTATCATGGTATCCATACCAGCAGCGGCTGTGTGAGAATTGCAAAGACTACACAGTTGACGACTGACGACTGCACCCCGCAGAAATGTACTTGAAACAACCATGGTATGTGAAGCCCTAAATCACCCAAACTTGATTTGTATGATCACGATCACTTCAATACCAGCGACGTTCTTTTCCCTGCAGGCTTTGGCACCACACTGGGTACCAGGCCTGATCTGCACAGAGGGTGCAGTTGACCATCATCAGTGTTGCTTTCACCTGAATCTCAAGCCGGGCTCCAGTCCGGCAAGCCTTAAGCCTGAACCTGAAACACTGTTTTGCTTTGGATGCGAGGGCATATGGGTATGTTTTCAAGCAATCACTTGGTGGCAGATGCCCAGAAGCCTCTTCCTGGTCTCTTCCAGATCACTCCCCTGCTGCAGATGTCGTAACAGCCCCCTCTCCGGGAACACCGAAACCCCGAAATGGTGACCATACTTGCCACTGGCAGAGTGTTGTAAAGCTCATGATGATGATGGTGGTGGTGGTGGTGATGTTTATGATGACGACACGATGGTGATAGTGTCGGTGATGTCCATCATTATATTGTTTTCTATCATCATCACCATCGTCGTCATCACCATCATCATGACCATGTTGCAACATGTTCTGCTGCGAAAACCTCAGTGGCCAGCTTTTGGGTCAAGCGGCCTATGAGCTTAGCGACAGCTGCAGGGTCAGGTAGCATCGGAGGGCTTCTTTTGTCCATTCTGCATCAGCATTTGACTTCGACTGGCGAACCGATCGTGCCTCCTGACCTCACCTCTGCTTTCAGCTGCCTAGAAACCGAAGGGTTCATCGATCCTAAATCGTTTGCACTGGGAGTTGCTGTCGGGCTTTTGGCTGGACCTGTAATCGAAATCTTGTACGCGGCAAAGCTGTGGTGGCGCAGAGTCACTTTGCGGTGGTGGGCTCTCCTCCACAATCATCCCGTGGCGTTGTATCGAGTGAATGAGCAGTGAGCTTGCTGAACTCCGTCGTGAGCTTCGAGCCTTGCAAGACGAGGTACATCGGCTAAAGGTAAAAGTGGACCAGCAGAGCGAGAAGATTGATACTCTGGAGCAAGGGCGTGTTCTAGAGGTTGCCGAGACAGCTTGCGCGAGGCAGGATACCATCCAAGGATACAGTGCCGGGTCTTTCGGAAAGGGTCCTCCTCCTGATCTGAGTGGCGATTGGACTTTTAGGGCCAGAGTGGCCAAAGATATCGGATTGTTCCTCAAGGACTCCTTAGAGGGCAAGTTGCGAAGCTCCGTGCGAAATCGGATTGCTCTGAGGTCTCAGCTCTATATCGTTGTGCGGGACGTCCGGGGGAATACCTACACTGATCCAGTAAAAGTTTTCCGCACTTGGAAAGCCGCCAAGGAGCTCGTCGAGATTGACGGAAAGTCGGGCGACTCGATTTTCATCGGGCTTCCTTCCCAGAGAGAAGCACTCATTGCTGTTGCCGAGGCCGGGTTCGCCTGGCCTTCCTCCCTCGAAGGATGAGCGAATCTGAGGAAGACGAGACGGCCAAGATCCGGAGCCGACTCGTCTTTTCAGGTGGCCGGATCGACAACAACTACAAGGTGGGACTTCTGCCTTGTGGGGAAGAGGGAGCTACATGCAGCATCATTGGGATCGCCGAGTTGGGGGGGCGAATTAGTAGTTTTACCTCACTCGGTGTGGAACCGCAAAGTGAAGTCACGGAAGATTCCCAGCAACAGCCTCGGAAAAACTCTTTCTGTGGATTACGCCACGGCTTTCGGAGGGGCCCGGGAAACGGCTCGACCGGAGATCTCCACCAAAGTATGGGTAGGTGTCCTAAGCGTGGAATTGGAGGGGAAGGTTCAGTACCCGGAGGATACCCTCGCGACTTATGCCTTCATCGGCGGGAACCCAGAGGAGATCGTCTACCCGTACGGGAAGGCCCTCGTGACCGTAGCCGACGAGCACTTCGCCTTTATGACGGCGGAGAGCGGAGGCGGCGGGCCCGGGATATTCAAGCGCATGGAAGCAGTGGAGACGGGGCTGTCAACCATCCAACGGCTCTTGGAGAACATGCATCGGGAGCAAGGCGAGGAGGAACAGCTTGGAAAAAAGAAGGATCGTGGAGCTCGGTCGAAGGCCATCGCTGCGCCGGCGAAGCGACCTCCTCTCCCAGGCCTGGATGCGGGAACCGTCGCTGCAGCCAGAGCTGCAGGTGTCGGGGAGGATGCTCTTTTGGAGATGTCGCGGTTGGTAGGCCAAAGGCAGGGGCGGCTCACCGAACCGAAGCTCCTGGAGGAGATCGCTTTGGAGGAAGGCGACGGTCTGGACGACCCCGAGGAGGAGTTCCTAGGCGGAGTTGGCGAAGTGTCCGAGGATCGCTCGCAGGGGAGTGTGGAGACGGCGGTGGTCCAGCTCACCAAGCTGGTCAGCTCTTTGGCCAAAAGCAAGAAGACCGACCTCGAGAGTATCCTGGATCAAGGGGGCGGGTCTGCATCGAGCGACGGGTCTGGATTGGGAGGAGGCCGAAAACATGCAGCGGCCCACAGGCTGTTGACAAAGGCCTTTCCGAGCCTTTGGAGACCAACATGGTCGAAGACTTTGGTGTGCAGCCAGCACTCCCTGGCCACCCAGGAGGACTACCGAGTGCCAGGGCATGGCTCTCTGCTCGAAGCCGCGTGGGCAATTTCCACAATCATGTGAGATGGTTGTCCGGGCATCACGAGCGTGCACGCGCACGCGCAGGACTTCTCGTGGCGAGAGTGCCTCTCCTGGAACCTGTGCCGCCATTTCAGGGTTTCGCCCGTCACTCAGCGCCCCACAAAGCTCAGCTCTGTACGACCCTCGGTGGACCGAAGTGTTCCTCGGGGTTCTCAAGGAGCGGGACACTTGGAACGAAACCCGAAAGAAACTCTCAGGCCCAAGAGCCCGGGCAGACGGAGAGCAGGAGGACAAGAAAGGAAAAGGGCGAGGTCGTGGCCGAGGCGCTTCGGAGTCAGGCGCTGGAGGTCAGGAAAGCAAGTAAGTTATGAACATGGGGGAGGGCCGGGTGCGGCAAACTGCGCGGATGCAGGAGCCGACCCTTTGCCATCATCAGTGCCGCCTAATTCTCGTGATCTTCATTTTTCAGCCGCCTCCCCTGATCACAACCGCATTCCAGGCAGCAGCGTGAAGGACATCAATCCTAGATCAATTTTTCTTCAGCTCAATCGGGAATTCTTTCGGAAAGGCACCGGATTGAGCTCTTTTGCTTGCAGCTGTATGCGTAAAGGCTTTGTGTCCGATCAGGGCACGACCAGATGCCGAGATTCTCCTCATCATGTGTGGCCCATGCCTATACCCTATCCAGCAGCCTGTGCCCTAGACCCTGGTAAAGTTGGAGACGCTGACTTGAAGAAGATTATCGCGAGTCACCTTGTGATCTCCTTCAACTATTTGGACCTGGGGCGGCCTGCTCGAGCTCCGGACGGTTGTCTTAGAGGCGGTCGGCTGAATGAAGCTCAGCGGGAGCAAGTGCTACGGCTTGAGAGTTTCCTTGATGCTTGGTTTGAGATCGGCATCCTCGCAGCCGAGAACATGGGCAGGACAGCTGGAAAAACAGAAGAGCTTGAGCGAGTTCTTTTTAGCTTAAGATGTTGGAAGAGTCAACAGCTGGGTGCATGTATGATTGGTCAAAAGGAGAGTCCCGAGTGCGGGACTTTCAAAGGGCCAAAGATCAGCACATTCAAACAGGTGGAAGCTTCCAGATTGCAGTTCCGAGGTCGACCAGACTTTGACCCGAGACCTTATCTAGATTCCACACCAGAGCAATTTACGAAGAGCCCTTCAAGCACTCTGTCAGCCCTGAAAAGTTCGATGGTGCAGTTCCTCATGTTAAAGTTCATTGCAGCCGAAACGAGCGCATCAAGCTGTATAAACTTCTCGATTCGTCGGGGAGGATCCAACTGTTCCGCCCTGAGCAGGTGCGCTGTAAATTTACCAGTGGCATCTTTGCTGTGCTCAAGTCGCTGAGCCTCGACAGACTTATTCTCGATTCCCGTCCACACAACCTGCTGGAATCCCCTCCCGGGAAGTTCATCCGCACTTTAGGAGCCGCAGACACCGTTTGCCGACTACACCTTGAACCAGGAGAGTGGTTGTACACGTCGACAAACGATATCAGAGATTTTTACCACTTATTCCGTGTGGGAGAGCAACGAGCTTGCAGAAATTCTTTGATCGGCACTGTCACCCCTGGCGAGGTGAAACACTTCAGGTCGTTCCGCGACTCCCTCAGTCAGAGGCGAGGCGAAACTCTATGCAGGTTTATCTTGTTTAGCCATGGGCGACACGCAAGCGGTGGAAGTTGCGCAAACATGTCACGTTGGGTTACTTTTTTTAAAGCGGTCTTCTTGATGAGCGGAACTTGCTTTGCATGGGGTCCCAGCTCCTAGAGAACCTACTTGCGCAGGGGCGGTGATCGATGACCACGTTTGCCTCAGCATCGAAAGGCGGGGGCCCGACAGCGTGAAGTCTTCACCAACGGACGGGGCAATCCTTGCTGACACTGCGCAGGAGATCTAATTACAGAAGAGTCAATTTGATTCCCCACGAGGGCAAGGCAGTACGTGACTCTTTGCAGGGCGAGTTTTGGGGTCTCCAAGTCGACGGTTCCAGTGGTTTGGTCCGGGGTTCCTTGAAGCGTGCCGTCCCGTTGCTCAACGTCATTCTGGATGTCCTCGAGCTTGGGATTGTCACGGTGAACCTTCTCGAAATCATTGCAGGCGGGCTCATCGCACTCTTTATGTATAGGAGACGACTTATGTGCTTGATGCAAACCATTTTCAGTGAAATGACGCAGAGGAGTGAGAACACTGTACTCGCTTTGGGCTCCGACCTGCGGGAAGAGCTCATCTTGTGTTGCTTGCTTGTGACCACTGCTGTGATCGATCTCAAAGCACATTACAATCCAACAATCTTCGCTTGTGACGCTTCAGGTTGGGGCGAGGCTGTGGTCAGTTTGCATACATCCGAGCCCTTCGCAAAGGAGATGTATCGCCACTGCCTTCGCAAGAGTGTTTGGACCCGGCTCCTTTCGCCAGCCAAAGCTCGACTGAGGCTTCATGGTGTGCTTCCCGAAGAAGAACTCGAGCTTCCTGGAGGCGGCAACGCCCAGTATAGGGCGCATGCCGCTTGGATTCGCTTTCTAAAGTCCGGAAAGTTCAAGCTTCGCTGGAAACGCAAGGCTAAATCGAGAAGACATATCAATATAGGAGAAGTTCGAGCTTTTCTGAGATCGGAGCGGTGCGCAAAACTGTCGAAGAGAGCCACGCGATGCTTGGTGGCCGGCGACAGCCAAGTAGCTATAGGTTGCTTACTTAAGGGGCGTTCTTCGTCAATTGCGCTCAACAAGGAGATCGAGCGCGCGCTTCCCCATACCATCGGAGGCGGAATCTACTCCGGGCTGGCCTACTCCCCGACGTCTATCAACCCTTCGGACGCCCCGACTAGGGGACGAGACGTAGGAGAGCCGACCGAAGATCTGCCCAACTGGTATGAGCCTCTGCTATCAAAAATTATTGAGCCGCTGGACGCTTTCCTTCAAGATCATGGCTGCTCTCCTTATGCTCTCACCGGAGTTCCGTCCTTGAATGAGCTTGTGCATCCAGGCAGAGAGGAAGTAGTCGAACGAATGGGTGTTCAGCGCAACGTTCGTGCAAAGAGTCTAAAGCAATTGCTCTCAAAGGTCCCTCCTCAAGTTGTTTCGGAGCGACTTCGCGAAGCTGCAGAACACTGTCCGAAAAGGAGTGGCTTCGAGGCTCGCCAAGGTGATGTTTTTCCAGGTCCATGCCGAGACTTAGCTCATGGTATCGGCACGATCGTTTGGCCAGATGGGGTGGAGCGAAGTGAATGTCAGAAGAATCGAGGATACTTGGATCTTTTCTCTGGGAGTTTAGGAGTGGCCCGGCAGCTAGCTCGCATCTCAGGCCGATCCATCGGAGGACCTCCTTAAACCGGCATTGCAGGCCAGCATTTTGCATATGGTGCGAAGTCGGGCCTTTGTCGGAGTTGGCGGTGGTCCTGTCTGTACGAGCCATCACCCCAGGATTGAGAAGCATTGCCTATCCACAAGGCAAACCTGGGATTCCGGAGAAGGCGCAAATCAAAGTAGCACAGGGAAATCAGCTTGCCGCTTTCATGCATTCAGTATGTACCACAGCTCTGGAACTGTCGATTCCTTTCTGGATCGAGAACCCGCACACTTCTTTTCGGTGGTTTCTTCCAGAGTTCCTTGAGCTTGTCAAGAGCCCTGCTGTTGGAGAGTGGGTTTACGACTGTTGCAGATTCGGATGCAGGTGGCGAAAGCGATCAAAGGTTGGTGAGTACAACTGGGCTTGCAGGATCCAGAACTCTGTGCCTAGGATGTGCCAGTCATCAATTACTGCGCGGTAGATGTGGAAACTCTCGCCTGACATGGACAAGGTTGGCGGAGGCCTACCCCAAAGGGGTCTCTCTCTGCATAGCCATGTCCCTAGCTGCAGCTGCCGGTGATCGTCCTGACTTCATCAACTTGGACATCGACGGGTGCGCCAAAGCTTCCTGCAAAAGGATTGGCGAAGCTAGTAATCCTGGGCCGGCAGTTGGAAATGCCAAGTCCCGGGCTGCCAGGAGACGAGGCATTACTCTGCAGGAAGCCCCACTCGTCGAGCCAAAGACCCAGGATCTGGAAGTGAGACTTTGGGGTGGATTCCTCGAATGGGTTCGTGACAACTGCAGCAGCACAGGGGCCGAGGAGCTTTTGCAGAGTTCGGTTACCACTTCGGCTCTGTTGAAAGAGTACGGAGAGCATCTTTTCGAAAGCGGAGCCACTTTGTCAGCGTTCCGGCATCTCATCACTTTTGCGCAGCGCACTTACTCCGATTTCAAGCAGCATGCAAAAGTGTGTTGCGACATGGTGACTCGCTGGGAACAGTTAGAGCCGTTGGTCCACCGACCGCCGTTGCCTCACAAGCTGTGCGAGGCCATGGTTGCCATTGCGCTAAGCTGGAATTGGCCTCGTTTCGGGCTGCTCCTTCTCATTGCGTTCTTTGGCATTATGCGAATCGGAGAAGTCCTTCAGCTTTCTAGGGCAGAGTTGGTACTTCCCTCGGACTTGCTTTCAGATAAGACCGATCAGCTCTTCGTCAAAGTGATCGCCCCTAAAACGCGAAAAAGAGGCGGAAGTCGACATCAACATGTTGTGGTTAAGCACCCCGGCTTGATAGCAGCTTGTGAAGGCTGTTTTTCTAGACTTTCTCCTGAAAAAAAGCTGTTTCCGTTGTGTGCTCAAAGCTTTCGTCGCCGGTGGGACAGCATCCTCCAGACGTTGCAAGTGCCTTCAAGTCTGAAGATCACCCCAGCATCTGTCCGGGGCGGAGGGGCGGTTTTTGCATACCAGACTGGCACTGGCGTTGCGGATCTGGTCTGGAGGATGCGTTTACAGCACATCCATACTTTACAGCACTATCTTCAGGAAGTTGCTGCGGAGAGTACCCTCGCAGCTTTGTCGACTTCTTCAAGATTCTCAATTCTTTCGGCTTCACGATTGTTACCCTTCTTTCTGGCCCAAGCTTCCAGCTCTAGCTGTCGAGGACCTTCATAGGCCTTAGGAGTCCGGCTCCTACTTCTTCCTCGTAGCGGCCGTCTGCTGGTGAGTGGTGGTGGCAAGGAACTCGTTCTTCTTTGCTGCAGGCTTTTTCAGCGGTGATTTCAATAGGCAGTCGCCTTTCCAAGAGCTTCTCGAGTTCACTTGAGATTTGGCAGCTCTCTTCTGCGACTTGTGGTCATTCAGCTCTCTGCCTGCATTCCTGATCTAATCAGGATACCAAAACTTATCAGTGGGCCGTGCACAGCTGCAAAAAAGTGCGCCGAGCCACGGGACTAGAGTGAGCGGCATAACATGGTCATGACCATCACATGGCCGTCATCACGACCACGGTCTTCTTCATCAGTATGACCATCACCATGGCGACCATCATGATTGCAATCGTTGCCACCATCATCATCATCATCATCATCGTCACCGTCATCGTCATCATCGTCGCCATCATCACCATCATCACCATGATCATTATGCTTTCCCGCACCTTCGAAACCTCCAGCCCGGAGTTCGGACATGACCCTTGCAGGACTGGCGGAAGCGAATTCGTGTTCTGGACTCAGGGAATTGTTTCAATGGTTCAACCGAGTCGCGGTCCAGGGGTTTCGGGCTTATGCGCTGAGGGCTGAAGTGCAGCATTTTGACGGTGCGGGTCTAGTCAGTTGAGGGTGTGGTTTTAGGCTTGGACATCGCTGGTCTACTTTGGCATCCTACTTCTTGGAGTTATCTGCGAAATCATCAGCAACTGTCAAGACTCTCTTGGCAGCAGCCATCCGAATGTATGCCCTCTCTTGGAAGACTTGTCGAAAGCATCAGCTTGTTGCTTTCAACATCGGCCTTTTCTGGATTTCCATGAAAGGGAGGGGGCCCAGATGCTGTGACCCGAAGATCAATCTTGTACTGCGGTACTTGGACTTGCCGTCTCGTGCTACTACTTGCTTCCCTGGGAGCAAACTGAAACTCAATACCAGAAGCCATCATGAACGCCATCTACTCCATCTCTGGTGGCCGAACACTGTGTAAAAGCTAAGGTCTGGAAGCTGGCATCGGTGAGCTCTTGGCTTCGGTGCTGACCTTGGCATCCCTTCAACAAAGTTCTGTTTCGAGTCTTGATGCTCGTACCATCCCTGCTGAATGACTGTTGTTGTTTGTTGGTCAAACTGCTGCGGTCATGTTCACGGTCATGGTCATGGTGGGGGCAAGCTGCTCCAAAGAGGAAGAGGAGCACGAGGATTGGGGTTCTTTATTTACCAAATTCTCAAGGCCGTCCGAGTGGTTTGCATGCTGTTTCTCCAATATGTTCTCTTTTTCATAGCTCTTGCTCCCCTTTCTATTTGCAGCAAGCCGGCTTGCTCCCTTCTCAACCTTTCTAGTCCCTGTCGAGCGCATCGTTCGCTTGCATCGAGTTGTCTAGTTCCTTTCGAGTGATCTGCTCCTCCTTCCGAAACTCTCTGGACCTTTCTGCTGGCTCTCCTCCTGCATTTCAAGCTCTCTAGTCTTTTTGAGCTCCCTTGCGACTGCTCCTCTTGAGGGCTGGCCTTCTGAGCTTCTATTCGCGGTCGGAATGCCACTTGTTCTCAAACTTTCTACTCGACTTGGCTCTAAGGCCCTCTCGACTGGCTTGACACCTCTTTCTCAACTTCTCAAGTTTCCTTCAAAGCTGTTTCTCCTCTTTCTGGTGGTGGTGGTGGTGGTGGTGTCCTTGGCAGTGCTTTTGCTTCCTCAGACACATGCGTGCCACCCTCACTTCAGAGCATAAATAACAGAGGTTCCCGAACATGGCCTCGATGTCGAGACGAGACAGTCCTTGCTCAGGTTTTTGTCGGCCGACCGTCGGTGCCCCAGGCAATCGCAGGATGGTGGTGGATGTGCCACTCTGCAAGAAGCACATGGTGGCACTTGTGGATATGGTTGCGACAGCTCATTCATGTCGCAACCTCAAGCGTGAGCCTTTGGTGTCCTGCTGAAGGCCTGTGGTTGCCTTCGACTACGACCCCAGGCCTGTGGGATGTCAGTACCATAGATCCCAGCCGGCTTAGTTGGGGCTTAGGCTCGAGCCCTTGTTAGGAGGTGGTTGTGAGACGAGAGCTTGCGGATGTGTCGATTCGACGGCGTGCATGGAAGCGTCACAGCACCATCTAATCCGGTACACAATCCGAACACAGGCTTGAATGGCTTGAAGATAGCGTGCCCCCCAGTTCACAGATCGGTGGCCCAATTGGGTCTGCTCTATATCTGAGCTTCGTTTCCCTCCACCTCTGGGTCCTGGTTGGCGTTTGACCTCGAGCAGGTGCAAAGGCGGCTGTCGCGATCGAAAGAGGCGGGTTCAGGGCTGCACAGATAAGGAGGTTGACCGCCAGACCTAGCAGTCTACAGTCCTGAACCCGACGATATCCGACGATCTTCAACACCCGAAGCCTAAGAGTTCATCATGTCTGGTGGCCGAACTCTCAACCCCAAATCCGGTAGAGTTGTGCAGTGCCTTGCAACACGCGAAGCAACATGCCTGGGATGCAAGGGGCAGAAACCCGCGGGGATACTCTTCTTCCTGATTCGTCCAGTCACCGACTGTGTCATACTGTAGGTTGGAAACTGGTGAAGCCCAGGCAGACGATGAGCCGTCAAAGCTACTATGCTGACCCACATATGCCCTTTGCCTCCATAAGAATGAGAACCGAGCCTGAAGAAAATTCAAGTTTTGGGAGGATTCTCAACGAGACGGACAAGGCCGCTCTGTCGCTCAGCCGGCTCCCAGAGACCCTTGGCGGGTGGTGCTTCAGTGTGTCGCGGCCAAGTGCTTCGGGGTTTCAGTTTGGGACTTCGGGTGCCGGACTCTGGGTTGGAGGGGCCCTGAACCTCAACTCTGCGGTTTTTTAGTTGGGATACATATATACATATGCATATATATATATATATATATGATCATTGTTCCTACTTCCTAGTTGTGCCTTGCTCCGATCCAATGCCTCAGCCAGCCTGGCCTTCGACCTAGCAGTCACCTGGCAGGGAGAAAAGGCAATCGGAGAAAAAAAAAAAAAGAAGCTTGAATCCTCAACCCTCGACAACAAAACTTGAAGGATAACCCCATAGCCCTCAACCCGGAGCCCGAAACCCACAAAATGGGAAGCCTAAACCCTCAAATCATGCACCCAAGCCTCACAAATCTTCACCTGCGCTTCACCTGCGCTTCCTCGCGTCAAGCTGAGGATGCACTTCTGCCTGCAGACCACCCGGGATGTCCACGAGCCCGGCTCTCAAGTCGGCTCAACTTAGTACCTGCAGACGCGAAAGCAGAGGGATGCCTAAGCAAGTTCGGGGGAAAAGCATACTTCAGAGTGCCTACAGCGCATGTGCGCCGGATTACAATGAACACATCACATGTATTCAGCGTTTTGCCGTTTTGTGGCAAGTTCCCTATCTGCATGGATGGTTGGTGTCAGTGTTCTTGATCCGCGGGAATGGCCCTACTATGTCGTTTTTCGTTGCAGGGCGACGCGATTACCATGCTTTTAGCATTGGGCGCCACTGCTTCGGCGCTTGAGCCTTCGAGCTTTTGCAGGTACAACGCGGTCGTGAACACATTCAAGTGCCCTGCCAAGTCCTTCTTCCGAGAGCGAACTCATGTGCTTAGCAGTATGGTTCGGTGATGCTTTGACATGATTTGGAACAGTGCCACTTCAGCGCATCCTGCGGCTGCATGTAGCTGCCAGGATGGCTGGCTGGACACGTGTCCCAGTTGGCTCGTCGAAGTTTGCCATCTACTGGGGCTCGGGTCTTGGAAGCTCTCGGGCGCAACTCACTTTCGCATGTTGCCCGGAAAGTTAATGTATGGCACGTAGCCTTGACCAAGGTTACATTGGTTGGCAGATAGAGCTATATACTACAGTTTCGTCCCTGTCCTCCATCCCAGAACCGACTCGGCAACAGGTCCACATCCCACGCCAGAGATGTCGGTGCCCAAAAAAGTGCAAGCTATCCACAGACTGTGATGCTCAACTTGTCTACTCGCCTGACAACAGCAAATCCTCTGTCAATCGCTTCAGGGCGACCCGTGCCTGAACTGGAGCCGTAGCAGGTCATAGGTGCATACATATATTATATGCACACATACCCATAGGTACTCGTTATACAAGCATGTATATGCACACAGATTATGTGTGTGTATTTACATGTACATACATACGTAAAACACATACGTTCATAGATAGACAGATAGATAGATAGATAGATAGACAGACAGATGGATGGACAGATAGATAGATAGGTAGGTAGGTAGGTAGGTAGGTAGGTAGGTAGGTAGATAGGCAAGTAGATAGACAGATAGATAGACAGTTAGATGGATGACAGATCGATAGGTAGGTACGTAGGCAGATAGATAGATAGATAGATAGATAGATAGATAGATAGATACATAGATGGCTATAGACATAGATACAGATACTATAGATACAGATATAGATATCGGTATAGATATAGAATACAGAGATAGAAGTAGCGATAGAGACAGACAGATAGATCTGTAGATAGATAGACAGATAGATGGATAGATAAATAAATAGGGCTTGGTTGCAAAGCTGGAGTTGCACCAGGACTTAAGATTCTCACTTTCAAAGGCTTAAGAGGATATGGGGGTGTAGGGTGTGTGGTGGGTGCAGATACGAGGCCTGTCGGGATCCCAAATCCAAGACCTTCTTGCAAGGCCTAAGCTCAAAAAACCGATCCCAAAGCGCGCGCACTCCCAAGGCTGAGGAGCTTTAACCCTTTCCAGAGGGCAAACCACTTTCCGAACTCCTGGCAGTTGGGGCGGAAGGAGGGGCAGTGTGTGCTTGATGCCATCGGTCCATCTATCTCCATCTTTCCTGCCCTCCTACATCCCTCCATCTCTCCGTTTCGCTCTCCTTTTGTCACGATCCGTCGAAGCCAGACAGACCATCAGACGGAATGAGCATTGGAGAAACGGACAGATAGATGGCTATGTGGAAGCCCTGAAACATGAGCCCTAAACTCTCAATCCCATGAATTCGTTAAGCCTTCCGCTGCAATGGCTGTCAGGACCTTCTGGGCAAGAACATCCACAGGCGTTTCGTACTTCGCGGGGCAGCCTTAGAAACCAGTTCTTTGTCTAGTCCATTCTACAGCGACGAGAAAGGAGCTCTTGGGAAGGCTTGATCGCCCTGAGAGGTTGCGAGCGCCGAGTCCTAAACCACCGAATCTGTTCAGGGTGTATCCGTGAACGTGTATTTCCGTCTCCACGGCTTGGGCTTCAAGTGTTGGCCTGCTTTCGTTTTGGTCGCAGAGATGTCCTCAGCGAATAGCTCCGTCGAGAGCGGCTAGTGAGCGAATTTCGGCGACAGACCGTCAGGCGGTAGCTACGAATCGTCTGTCGAAGTTCTTGACTGATACCTGGACACCGGCTTTCCAATCTGGCAATAGGTATAGAAAGCCCCAGGGCCGGAACGACTCAAACCCGTAAGCCCGGAGGCGCTTACTCCAAGCTGTAGGACGCCGACAGGCCAAGATCCTGAACTGGACACGGACATTTCCCTTTGCCGGATAGCCGCTGGACAGGATGAAGCGACAGTTCCCTAAAGACTATAACATCATGTGCGTCGCTCAGATCCGGCTTCTGCGAAAATGGGGATAGTTTCCCAGATCCTTGAATGCGGTGTCTGTATGGCTTCAGTTACACCTGTACACCCCAAGACAAAATCCCGAGCACCGGCAGAGACCGGCGGGAGCGTGTTTTTCCCATCAGGCCGGAGTGGGTAGGAGTGTACGCATGCATGGGTAATGTGTGCATGTGTCGTTGTGCTCGACGCTACAGCCGATCCTCCCTGCGGAAATCTCTGAAGGGAAACTGAGAGTTGGCTCGGACGAAGAACCTGGCTGCGCGGCTGCGAGCAAGAGAGTGAGAGAGCTCATGCGCAGCCTTGCACGGAGTTCTTAAGCAAGAGAGGTCATGAATGGCCTGAACAAAAGTGTCGATCCAGTGCTTCCTGTGTGCCTGTTGAATGTGCTTCGCCAGACCCAGAGATTTCTGGGCAATGTTTCTATTCATGAAGCCATCCGGTTCTCATGCTTAGGAGTTCCAGGACCTTACGCCCCAAACCTTAAACCCTCAATCACCCCCAACAAATCAGCCCGAAAGCATACCCCCTCAAACTCAAGACCCAGAGCCTTGAGTCGTCATTGGCTTGAACTATGTACCAGACCCCAGGCCATTGAGCTTTAGTCTCCCTGAAGACAGCCAAGCTTGGAGCCAGGCACACGGGGTGGTTTCGGTCGGCCTGTTCAGTGTAGCCCAAGACATGGATCTTGCAGCTGCAACCTGAACCATGTGGAGTCCTTCTAAGAGCGCACGTCAGGTTTGTTTTCGCAAGTTCTTCGGATGGTTTGCCAAGTCGAATTTCACAGTCCACAGCCGTGAAGGGTTTGGATTTCCAGGCCTGGAGTGTTCTTTGTGGGTTGTTTTGTCGCAGGAATTCGGCAATCTGGCCCTCGTCATGCATTTGGCGGAACCTTGCATCGTCATCGAAGCCACCAGCAAAGATCAGAGGTTGTCATACCACCGTTGGTGGGTGAACCGAGGCAACCGCTAGCTTTGTTGGCCCTATTCAAGCAGCCAAACATAACCCCTGCGCTGTCATGTACAGATGGCAGGCGAGAGATCAGAATCCGGAGGCCTGAGCTGGTGCTTAGCTGACATCCTTGTGTCATGGATGCCATCCATGCGAAGAGCCGGAAAGCCGTGAGTGAGAAGTCGGACAGAGAAGCCGTAGCTTGGCAGAGGAGCTTGAAATGGATTCGCATGCCTTGCTTCCCTCGACCATGTCGAACTCAGATCTGAGAAGTTCCTACTGGTATTGCAGTTGATGAAGCGCTAAGACCAACAGGCTCTCTGGATTTGGAAGCCTGCCAACCTCAGCGCCCCGAAAAGCAAGAAGATGGGTTTTAATGTGGCTTAACTGTGAGGTGCATCCTGCAGAGGACTCAGAGCTCGGGTTTTTGCATCAGGATTCGTAATTTGAGGCGGGAGTTTATGGTTGGACTTGATGCAAGAGTGTTCGCGGGACTTGATTCAGAAGCGTGTGGCTCTGGAGGCTGTTCTTGTTCTGGAGGTTGTTTCCGTAAGTCTTTCTGGCTCTTTTTTGGTAATTCCGTAACTTGCATGGCTACCCCAGACCGGACTGAACCGCCACGCAAATCCCAGGGGTCTACAATTCTACAAGGTCAGGACAGGATCTGCGGCGCCACAGATACAAATCGGAGAAAGGAGTCATGTGCGTTTAGCTCCCTTAAGTTCAGAGGTCCGGATGCTAAGTGGCTGAGAAGTGGAAACTAGGAGCGAAGCAAGCTCAGGCTGTGGCAAAGGCATTCGCAGGGCTCCCAGATGCTATGAGGAGAATAGGCCGTTCACCGTCCACCGTTTGTCTTTTCGTGTGTATTCTGGTTTGGGAACGTTGAGAAATGGGGTATGCTCATGGAAGAATCGCCTAAAGTTCTGAAGCGCCGAGTCTTGAGCGGTTGTTCGAGGCCTCTTGGCTTCCTCCATCTCCCCTGGAGCAGAGAAGAAGATCCTGCAGAGGTACCCTTGTGGGTTTCGGACAGCATGGCCTTGGGTGTGAAAACAAAAGAGGGCCTCTGAAGCCGAAATTGGGTTCTCGCAAGAGCATTTGTGCTTGAGATTGTGGGGCTTTCAGATGCATGACGATTCCGTCAAGACCGTACCAGCAGAAGCTTTTACCCCAAGCGATGTACATTGCCTGAGCCAAATCTGGGCATTAAGCTCTAAAGACTCTCAAGTTTGATGCTTCGCCGAAACTGTGGTCCAGGTCAGGCGTTGTTCAGCGCTATGTGGATGGGCCGTTCGGCTCTCAGCCTCGTCGAGATGCTGGAAAAGCCCGCAAGCGGGGTCGCTGGAGTTTGCCATCTCCTGTAGATAGCAGAATCGCCTCATGAAGCCTGGGCCATGGGTCGGCTCAACATCGGGAGGAAGATTATATGATTAGATTTAGAAAAGACAAACTTCCAGCGTGCCGAGAGCGGTCGAGAATTACTTGTTGAAGCTGAAGATCAGCCTTAGCACACACTATACACTATACATGTACTAATTAATGTGTGCCGGCCCGTTTAATACAATGGGCTTCTATAATGCATTTTTGTCCTTGTTCAGGCCCGGACCAAAAATTTGGGCGGCCTAATTGATGCGTTTTTTTTTGGGGGGGGCCTGGTACTTTTTTGATTGTGTTGTTTCCCGTCTAGTAATGGTCAATCTTAAAGCAGCCAGGCCCTCCAAACCCCCGAAACCCTGGCCCCGAAGCCCGAAACTCTCCCTAAACCCGAAACCCCAATTAAGCCTAAAATGCCTAAACCCTAAACCATCGGACCTCAACCCTGAAACTTTAAACCCTAAAATCCTAGCCATACTGTACTAGTAGCGTACTACTACTGTACTAATACCACTGTACCACTACGGTACTACTACACTCTCATTGTACTAGAACTTTTGAAAGGCAGGAGCAAACCGCTGGAAAGTGATTAGAATGCTTCCGAAACAGGAGCAAACAGCTCGAAAGAGACTAGAGTCTTTGAGAAAGAGGAGGCTCGAACGCGACTAGAGTCTGTGAGAAACAGGAGCAAACCAGTCGAAAGGGACCAGAGTGCCTGAGAAACAGGAGCAAACCGCTGGAAAAAAAAGTGACCAGAATGTTTGAGAAACAGGAGCATACCACACGAAAAGAGCTAGATTCCTTGAGAGACAAGTGCAAACCGCTCGACAATGACTAGAATGTTTGATGAACAGGAGCAAAACGTTCGAAAAGGACTAGAGTCTTTCAGAAACAAACGCAGTCCGCTCGACAGATACTAGAATGTTTGAGAAACAGGGGCAAACCACCCGAAAGGGACTAGAGTCTTTGCGAAACAAATGCAAACCCCTCGAAAGGGACTAGAATGTTTGAAAACAGGAGCAAACCACTCGAAAGGGACTAGAATGCTTGAGAAACAAGCGCTAACGACTTGAAAGTGACTGGCATGTTTGAGAGACAGGAGCAAGACATTCGAAAACGACTAGAGTCAGCTCGAAAGTGACTAGAATGCTTGAGAAACAAAAAAGCTAACCACTCGAAAGTGACTAGAATGTTTGAAAGACAGGAGCAAACCGCCCGCAAGGGACTGGAGTCTTGGAGAAACAGTAGCAAACCGCTCGAACGGCACTAGAGTCTTTCAGCAATAAGTTCAAACCGCTCGAAAGTGATTGGAATGTTTGAGAAACAAGAGCAAATCACTCGGAAGGGATTAGAATGCTTGAGAAACAGGAGCAAATCACCCGAAAGTGAATAGAATCCGTGAGAAACAGGAGCACGCCCCTCGAAAGGGACTATAGCCTTCGAGAAACGCGAGCAAAACCGGGGCAAACCATTCCACACGCACTAGAGCCTTTGAGAAACAGGCCCAAACCTCTCAAAAGTGATTAGAATGTTTGAGAAACAGGAGCAAACCCCTCGACAGGTATTAGAATGTTTGAGAAACAGGAGCAAACCGTTCGAAAGTGACTAGACTGTGCAGCAAAACATGCGAACAGGACTGGAGGCTTTGAGAAACAGGAGCAAACCGCTCGAAACTGAATAGAAAGCTTGAAAAAAGGAGCAGAACACGCGAAAGGGACTAGAATGTCCGAGAGGAAGGAGCAAACCGCTAGAAAGTGACTACCTTTCCTCAGAAACAGCAGCAAAACACCCGAAAGGGATTACAGTCTTTGAGAAACAAGAGCAAACCGCTGGTAACTGACTAGAAAGTTCGAGAGACAGGAACAAAACGCTTGAAAGGGACTAGAGTCTTTGAGAATCAGGAGCAACCAACTCGAAAGTGACTAGAATGCTTGACAAATAACAGGAGCACACCACTCGAAAGGGAGTAGAGCCTTCGAGAAACGTGAGCAAACCACTCGCAAGTGAGAAACAGGAGCAAACCACTCGAAAAGGACTAGAGTCGAAAAGGACTAGAGTCTTTGAAAAACAGGAGCAAGCCGCTCGAAAGTGACTAAATTGCTTGAGAACAAGAAGCAAGCCACTCGAAAGGGACTAGAGTATTTGAAAAGCAGGAGCAAGCCGCTCGACTAGAATGGTTGTGAAACAGGGGCAAATCACCCGAAAGGGACTAGACTCTTTGCGAAACAAGTGTGAACTGCTCAACAGTGACCAGAAAGTTTGAGAGACAGGAGCAAAAGGACTGAAGTCTTTAAGAAAAAGTAGAACCGGAGCAAACCACTCGAAAGAAGGGGACTAGACTCTTTCAGCAAGCCGCTCGAAAGTGGCCAGAATGTTTGAGAAGCAGGAGCAAACCACTCGAAAGGGACTAAGAGTCTTCGAGAAACAGGAGCAAACCGCTCGAAACTGACTAGCTGACTAGAATATTTGAGACACAGGAGCACGCCACTCGAAGAGGCATGGAGTCTCTGAGGAACAAAACCAAGCCGCTCGAAAGTGACCAGGGTGTTTGAGAAACAGGAGCAAACCACCCGAAAGGGACTAACGTTTTTGCGAAACAAGTGCAAACTGCTCGAAAGCGCCAAGAATGTTTGAGAAGCAGGAGCAAACCATTCGAAAGGGACTAGAATGCTTGAGAAACAAGAGCTAACTTCTTGAAAGTGACTAGAATGTTCCAGAGATTGGAGCACAACATTCGAAAGGGACGAGAGTCTTTGAGAAACAGGAGCAAGCCGCCCGAACATAACTAGAATGCCTGTGAAACAGGAGCACACCCCTCGAAAGGAACTAGAGTTTTTGAGAAACAGGAGCAAACCGCTCTACAGTGACTAGATTGTTTGAAAAACAAAAACAAACCATTCCAAATGCACTAGAGTCTTTGAGAAACGGGAGCAAACCGCCCGAAAGTAACTAGAACATTCGCAAGGGACTACAGTCTTTATGAAACAGGGGCAAACCGCTCGAACATGACTAGAATGCGTGAGAAACAGGCGCAAACCGCTCAAAAGTGACTAGACTGTTTTGGAAACAGGACCAAGCCGCTCGAAAGTGACTAGAGCCATGAAAAACAGGAGCAAACCGCTCGCGATTGATTAGAACGATTGAAAAACAGCAGCAAACCGCTCGAAAGGAACCAGAGTCTTCGAGAAACAGGAGCAAAATACCACTCGAAAGGTACTAGAATGCTTACGAAAAAGAGCAAACCCCTCGAAAGGGACTAGAATGTTGGAGAAACTGGAGCAACCTTTTCGAAAGCGATTAGACTATGTGAGAAACAAGTTCAAGATGCGCGAAAGGGACTAGAAGTTTTGACAGGCAGGAGCAAACCGCTCGAAAGTGAACTTCCGAAACAGGAGCAAACATCTCGAAAGAGACTAGAGTCTTTGAGAAACAGAAGCAAACCGCTCGAAAGGGACTAGACTGTTTGAGAAACAGGAGCAAAGCGCTCGAGAGTGACTTGAATGTTTGAGAAACAGGAGCAAACCACTCGGAAGGGACTAGAGGCTCTGAAAAACAGGAGCAAACCGCTCGAAAGTCACTAGAGTCTTTGAGAAAGAGAAGCAAACCGCTCGAAAGAGATTAGAATGTTTGAGAAACAGGAGCAAACCAATGGAAAGTGACTAGAATGTTTGAGAGAGAGGACCAAACCACTCGCCGGGGACTAGAGTCTTTGCGAAACAAAAGCAAAGCGCTCGAAACAGACTAAAGTGCTTGAGCAAAGGAGCAAACCACTCAAAAGTGACTAGAACGTTTGGGCAACACCACTCGAAAGGGACTAGAGTCTTTGAGAAACAAGAGCAAACCGCTCGAAATTGACTGGGAGGTTTGAGAAACAGGAGCAAAACACCCGAAAGGGACTAGACTCTTTGAGAAGCAGGAGCAAAGTGACTAGACAGTGTGAGAAACCGGAGCAAACCACTCGAAAGTGACTAGACTCTGTGAGAAATAGAACAAAACACTCGCAAAGGACTAGATCTTGGAGAGGCAGGAGCAAACCGCTCGAAAGTGACTAGAATGCTTCAGAAACAGGGGCAAAACATTCGAGAAAAGAAACTAGAGTCTTTGAGAAGCAGGAGCAAACCGGCCGAAAGCGTCTGGGAAACAGGAGCAAACCGCTCGAAAGTGACTAGAATGTCAAGGAAACAGGAGCAAACCACTCGACAGGGACTCAAGTCTTGGAGAAACAATGGCAAACCGCTCGAAAGTGATTAGAATGCTTGAGAAACTGGAGCAAAGCACTCGAAGGTACTAGAATGCTTCAGGAACAGGACAAGCCGCTTGAAAAGGACCCGAGTCTTCGGGAAACAAGAGCAAACCGCTTGAAAGGGACTAGAGTCTTTGACAAACAAAAGCAAATCGCTCGAAACTGACTAGAATGTCTGAGAAACAGGAGCAAACCAATCGAAAGGTGCTAGTGTCTTTGAGAAACAGGTGCAAACCGCTCGAACGTGATTAGACTGTTTGAGAAGCAGGAGCACACCACTCGAAAGAGACATGAGGCTTCGAGAAACGTGAGCGAACCGCTCGAAAGTGATTAGGATGTGTGAGAAACAGGAGCAAACCGTTCGAAACTGACTGGACGGTTTGAGAAACAGGAGCAAAACATTCCAAAGGGACTAGACTCTGTGAGAAGCAGGAGCAAACCCCTCGAAAGGTATTAGAATGTTTGAGAAGCAAGCGCAAACCGCTCGAATGGGGCTGGGGTCTTTGAGAAACAGGAGCAGACCACTCGAAGATGACTAGAAGGTGTGGGAAACAGGAACAAACCCCCTCGAAAGGGACTAGAATGTTAGAGAAACTGGAGCAACCCACTCGGCAGTGACCAGACTGGGAAACAGATTCCAAACGCTCGAAACGGACTAGAAATGTTGAGAGGC